AATATGGGGAATCCTGGGATTTGTGTGTATTTATTTGTGTGCCCCTGTGCCCCTTCACATCGTTGCCCCACATCGAAGGTGACTGTATATTCGCGCCGTCTCGGCGCCAGGGCAGCTTTCGGGACGAGGCTTTGGCTTCTCGTGCGAAACCCACACGAGAAACGGATTCGACAGCAGTGGAGGACTTCCGAGAGCGGAGCTCGTTTCCGATGGAGCGACTCACGCGGTGCCGAAAGTTGGGGCCCACGGTGCCAGGCCGCGAGCTTCTTGTACAGTGGAGACCCATGCCAAGAAACACCCGGTTTGCCTCCAGGCTGCCCTGTGTTTCGTGTGTTCCGATGGTTTTGCGATGAAGAGATATGAAGAGCGCGACGTTCCCACACCAACAATCCATGGACGTTCTAGGGTCTCAGGGTTGGGTTTCTTGCGGAAGGCTTCTTGCGGACTGGCTTTCAGCGTACGGCTCGAAGCCCATGCGAGAGACGGATTCGACAGCAGCGCAGGACCTCCGAGAGCGGAGCTCGTTGCATTTGGAACGATTCGCGCGGTGTCGAAAGCTGGGGCCCACGTTGCCAGGCGGGGAACTTCTCGTACTCGAAGAAGGAACGCCATAAACATAAAATGTTGGCGGTCCGCGCGGATTTCTTGGACCCGCGCTGGGCACTCGCGCGCCAGGGAGGGGGGTCAGGCGCACATCAAATAATCCGCGCGGAGCGCCAAAAGTTTATGTTTACAGTCGGGGCCCTGAAGAAGGAACCCTTTTCGTTGGGGAGGGGCTCCGCGTTCCTTCAGTGTTTCACAGCTTGCCTCAGGTTTTCCTATGTTCTCGATCGGAAATCGAAGTTGAGCTTATGGAAAAAAGGGGCCTCGTTCCTTATTTAGGGTTCCTTAGGTCAACGCCCCGACTGCATGGCGTTTTGTCTTCTTCTAATATACTGAATGTATTACGGTCGGACCGAGGCGCAAGATCGAGGTTGGTTCGGTGAGGGTACCTTGATGTTCTTTGTGTCTGTTGGATTTTCTTGTGAAAATTGGGGGAGCGTACCCTCGAGTGATCTTATGGTTTGGGGTCTTTGGCCAACGGAGGGTCTCATGTTCTTGACTGTTATTATTATGCGCTAGGTCCGACCGTATTTGCGTGCTTAGGGAATGCTTAAGCTTGATTTGACTGTGCAGGCAAGTTGGCACCATGTCTCATATGCCAGAGCCCAGTCCAAGGACCCAGGCATTCAACGTGATATGCTTGCGCAGTTGAATGCGAACTGTTCCAAGGCATGCCATGGCAAGCCATCAACTTGACACGGGGGTGCTGCCAAGTGTGGAATATCGAGTAAGTCTGAGGTATGTGCGCGATAGTAGCGATGCTGTTTTGGGGCAGCACGATGAGAGGGTAGGTATGGTGTTGTTTCGATGTAGCAACGGTGTAGCACAGCGCAATGATTGGACAGCAGCAGTAGTTCTCATGCAGGTCTGATGTGATACTGGCATGTGGGGCACCCACCTGTCGGCAGCTCAACCGTAGATGCGACGCATGCGTTGGTGAATCATACGCCTCCTCCGTCATTTCTAGGCCCTTTTCCCGTCTCCCCATGTCATGTCTCTGGCCTTGGCTCAAGCGTGCCTCGCGGTCCCGACCCACTTTCTGCCTACACACAACTCCGCACCGCTGTCTAGGTTTGAGGCCCGGGCGCGTCGCACATACCTCTGCACCCATGCAAAGATTTGCAGCGCGGCCGACGGCAACGGGGGCGACATGTGGCGGGCCTCCCCGTTGCAGCAAAGGCCCCGCGCAGAGATCGACGAGGTCTTCAAGAGCAGCCTGCAGCGCCGGCTGGTGATCCAGCTCGCTGGCGCTGGCGAATGGCGCCTCCAGTGCGGTGTCTCCGCTACCCGCACCGTATGGATGGGAGGCCAACGCGAGGTCTGTTCAACGCCATCACTCCCTTCTTCCTCGTCCTCCTCGTCCTCGTCCTCGTCCTCCTCCTCGTCCTCCTCCTCATCCCATTTTTCCTCCTGCTCGAACGGTAATCCCGCCTTCTCACCATTGCCTTGCCTGGCCTGCAGTAGCGTTCCCATGGGCGCTTGGCTCAACGAGCCTTCTTAGCGTGCCCGCCATCTACTCGCTGTTATCCATCCGCCTGCTTCCCCTAAAAGTGTACGCATTCTTGTCCCATCCACCTCTTGCATTTTTTTGCGAATTTCAAAATTGCCTGTCGACCCGTGGGCTTGCAGAGCAGCGCAGTGGGAGCCTGAAGACCATGCGCGCCTGAAGGGCAAGGGCAGACGGTGGCCAAACTGGCCGAAGAGGAGATGGTGTGACAAAAATTGTGATGTTCTCGTGGAATGGCAGCCACGCCGCTGAACTGGTGAATATGCTCGTGAAGCACCGGCATGGCGGAGATAAGGATATGAGTTTTGCAGGATGCAGTAGAGTAGCGCCACGATACTTTTACGCCCTTCCCCGTAGTGGGACGGGCTCGCCTGATGCGGTGGTCCGCCCGTCCGTCCGTCCATCCACCTCTGACATACATTTCTCTAGTTGGTAGCGGAGCTTTGGGTCTTCTTCCACGACCTCCATGGCTTCACGCTTTCGCCTCGCGTCGACCGCTCAGGTTCCAGCTCTCCGTCGCCTTCAGGCATCCAGCGCGTCATGACGCTGGACACGCCGAGCCACCTGTTTCGCTTTCGTGCGCCACTACCTGGCCACCTTCGGGGCAGTCGCCCTCCCGCCTCCAGGACTCGTGGAAGGTAACGTGTACATCGAGGACACCTGCCGCGCGCCAGCTCTCTTTGCTCCCTCTTCTGGGACTCGCCCTGACTGTGCCAGCGCAGCTCGCGGACCCAACGTTTTCGACACACCCGTCCGTGGGCATAGCCACATACGTGGGTGTGGCCGTCAATAATGAGCAGTTGTTGGATACAGCGTTCGCATCAGCGGCTTCGGCGAAGGACCCCGAGCCCCCCGCGACTGACGAGAGCTCAGGGAGGAGCAAATCGAGACAAGCGAAAAGTCAGTGGAGGGCATGGCGACTGCGATGTCAGCACTCGGGGGTCGCAAATCGGACGTGTGACTATCCGTATTCGTCGGTCTCTTTGAACATGATCTATCGCCTTACCCACGCAGTCCCTGCAGTCTGGCAGGACTGGGTCCCGATGTGTACTCCTCTTGACGATCGAACAGTTGATGGTGCACAGAACAGTGACAATGCGACGTACGAGGAGCATTCCCATGACTGTGTTGCGGAATGTTCCGAAGACCGAAAGCACCGCAACACCGCGACGGAAATTTGCGCCCCCTACGCAGACGAGGAAGAACATATCCCGGGCAAGTGTTCGCGGCAACTCCGAGGCTCCGTGCCGGAGCAACGCCGCTGGTGGACCCCTCAGTCTCCAGTGCCCCTGCGAGACACGGAGGGAACTACACTTCAGGTGGAAGACCGTCGTGGCGGGCATGATCGCCATTACCAGCTGCCCTTGATGCATGACCGCAGGCGGCGGCAGCGCGTCACCTCCGCACCTGGGGTCTCGAACAGCAATCTCGAGCGCCTTTCCAACAGTGGGGCGCGAAGTAATTGTCAGGTCAGTGGCGAACTCGGACCTCGACGAGTTTTACCAGGCGGCCTACGTCTCGTCATGCCTCGCCGGCATGGCTCGCGAATGCGTAGATGAATGGACGACGGCTGCCCTGATCCAAGGAAAGGAGGGCCAGGGCGGTTGCCCTTCTTCAAAGCAGCGGCGTGAGGACGCGAAGACGGTCGCGCGTCGCGCATCGCGGGGCGTGACGCGCGAAGTTAGGCGACCTAGAGTGCAGCAGGAGCAGCGGAGGTCGGCCGTTCTCGAGCGGCCGACCCAGAGAATGGCAACCGAACAGGGTTTGGGCCAGATTATTGGCGCCTCGAGCAGCAGGCCGCCACGTCGGTCGTGCAGGTGTCCAGGTTGATCACTCCGCCTAAGGAGCGGCAGTGGGGGTCGGCCGACGCCGAGAGGCCGAACAACGCCGGGGCCGTAGCGCATGCGCCTCGAGCAGCAAGTCGCCACGTCGGTCAGGCGGCTGGCCAGGCTGATTGGAACAACGAGCTTCAGTCTGCGGACGATTTTGCTCCAACGTGCTCCGACCATCAGAGCCAATGACAAACCAGCCCTCGGAAACGCTGGCTCGACACGGTCTTGTCCTTCAACGTTTGAGGCGCTGAGTCGCCGCCGCGCCGCCCGCTTGCGGCGGCGGATGCGGGGCGCTGGATCAAGGACCACAGAAGCAATGCCACTCAATTCCTTCAACGCGGATTGTACAGAATGTGCGAGTTCATCGGCTGATTCAAAAAAGCCAGTACCACCGCGCATCCGTGATCCATTCCCCATCGTGGCACAGCCAAATCAAACATTATGATCATCGTCAGTTGCTCTGTTCTTGTCGCTCATCTTTTCGATCGATCTTATAATGTTTTTTGGTTCATCTTTCCTACCTCTGGCACCCTGCTACCTCGCAGCCAATCTGAAACATGCCATGCGGAGTATTCACATGCCCGCGGTAACTCTTGCCACCGTGCCAGCGCTGCGTCAAGGTGGTTTTAGGCGTTTTGGGCAAAGGTTTGGAGAGCCTGGTGGACGTGGGCTGGTCCTGAGTTCCCTTGGAACCGTCTGGCCGTCTCGTGGCCTCTTGCGTAAGAAAAGCTAACATCATAGTTAAGTTGTGCTCTAGGCTTTTCAAGAGCGTCCTGCAGTTTTCCGGAAGGATTCCTGGACCCTCCCAGCGAACGGCCGGGATGAGGGCACAACGAGGGCGAAGAATGAGGAGGAGGCGGCGGCGGATGAGGAGGAGGAGGAGGAGGAGGAAAGAGGAGAGAGGGAGAGAAGAGAGGAGGACGAGAGGAGAGGAGAGGAGAGGAGACAAACCGCAGAAGGAGAAGATGCAGCAACGGCAGCCGCCCCAGGCCCGGCACGCGGAGCGGGGCGGCCGCCATTCCCTCCGTGCTCCGGCCCCGCTCTGGCCCCTCCCGGAGGCGGCCAGCACTCTGCAGTCATCCTGCGGAAAGGCCAGCCGAGCCGCGGGGGGAGGAGGAGGAGGAGGAGGAGGAGGAGGAGGAGGAGGAGGAGGAGCACTGCTTACCGGACTATACCAACCCAATCCGAAGGTCCCAGAATCTCCCCCCAAACAAAAATTCTGGTTGGGGGGTGTGCGCGCTCCACTGTGTGTTTCTCAATGTTCCAGGACGCCCCCCCCACTAGAAATTGGCAGGCCCAACGGCCACTTCGGGTTGGGCTGAGATGGCCTGGTGGGTAGTCAGAGGGAGGGGGAGGTGGAGCAGGTCAACCCCAAGATGCTGCAGCACGTGTACCCTCCCGTTCCAAGTCCCCTCGTCAGTCCCTGCAGGCATGCCTTTTCGGTGCCCCGGGCGCACCCCTTAAGGAACGAGCGGCCGATGGACCATCAACTCGGGCGGGGTGGGGTCGTAAAGTCTCAGGACGTGCCCAACGACAGCACCGCGTTGGAAATGAGTCGCCTTCATACGTGCGACTCTTACTCAACTGTAGACTTGCGAACAGGATCTAACAACGCCTCAAAAGAGAACATCAGTTTCAAAAGAAGCCGCCCTCAATCCATGTAGCAGTTGCACGATTTTGTCGAACTGCTGGCGGCATGTCCCGCAACCGTGCCAGCCCAGCACCATGGATGGCGATCGGCAGGAAGCCGAAAAGCGTGACACCAAGTGTCCCGAGGCTTGGGGGAGCCGTCACATGTGACATGTGTTGTTGCGTCGGGTCGGGGTTGGAAGTGGGTGTCAAGATGATGACGGCGATGATGTTGATGACGATTGTGGTGATGGTAGTGATGGTGATGGTGACACGATGATGTTGTTAACAATGCTAGCACTGTTGGTGGTGATAATGATACTGGTAATGATGATGAGAAGGAGCGTGTTCTACCGCTGCTGGCGGAAAACCGGGGGGGGGGGGGGACAGTGGTGCGGGGACAGTGGTACAGTGGTGCGGACAGTGGTGGGGACGGTGGTGGTGGGGACAGTGGTGAGGGGACAGCGGGACAGTGGTGGGGACAGTGGGACAGTGGTGGGGACGGTAGTGGTGGGGACAGAGGTGAAGGCGGTGGTGAGGACAGTGGTGGGACAGTAGTAGAGTGGGGAGAGTGGTGGGGACAGTGGGGACAGTGGGACAGTGGTGGGGTCAGTGGGGACGGTGGGACAGCACAGTGGAACAGCGGCGGGGACTGGGACAGTGGTGGGTACAGTGGGGACAGTGGGACAGTGGTGGGGACCGTGGGGAAAGTTGGGAGAGTGGGACCGTGGTGGGACAATGGTGGGGAGAGTGGGGACAGTGAGACACTGGTGGGGGGGCACTGGTGGGGACAGCGGGGACAGTGGTGGGAACAGTGGGGACAGTTGGACATTGGTGGGGACTGTGGGACAGTGGTGAGGACAGTGGTGGTGGGGACACTGGTGAGGGCGGTGGCGAGGATTGCAGTGGGACAGAGGTACAGTGGGGACAGTGGTGGGGACAGTGGTGGGAACAGTGGGACAGCTCAGTGGGTCAGCGGCGTGGACAGTGGGACAGTGGGATAGTGGGGACAGTGGGACGGTGGTTGGGGCCGTGGGGAAAGTGGGGAGAGTGGGACCGTGGTGGGAACAGTGGTGGGGGCAATGGGAACAGTGCGACAGTGGTGGGGGCACTGGTGGGGACAGTGGGGACGGTGGTGGTGGTGGTGGTGAGGACCGTGGTGCTGGGGACAGCAGTTGGGGGATGTGGTGCGTTTTCCCGGGGGGGGGGTCGAACCAGTAGTGACCCCCTCCAGTTTTCTGGACCGGGGGGTGGGGGGAGGTTCGAACCGGTAGTGACCCCCTGGTTTCCCGAAAGGGGGGGGGGGAGAGGGATTAGGGGGGGGGGTTGCCGGGGGAAGGGGGGGGAGTTCCAGCAGGGGGGAGGGGGGATTTTCGGAGGGGGGGGACCCCCGGGTTACAGAGGAAGGGGGGGGAATTTTCCACACTAAAGCGGCGGTGGATCACGCTCTGTCTATGATGATGATGATGATGATGATGATGATGATGATGATGATGATGATGATGATGATGATGATGATGATGCTGATGCTGATGCTGATGCTGATGCTGATGCTGATGCTGATGCTGATGCTGATGCTGATGCTGATGCTGATGCTTATGTTGATGATGCTGATGCTGATGCTGATGCTGATGCTGATGGTGATGGTGATGGTGATGATGCTGGTGATGATGATGGTGGTGATGATGATGCTGATGCTTATGATGCTGTGATGATGATGATGATGATGATGATGATGATGATGATGATGATGATGATGATGATGATGCTGATGCCGATGCCGATGCTGATGCTGATGCTGATGCTAATGCTGATGATGATACTGATGCTGATGATGCTGATGATGATGGTGGTGGTGATGATGATGAGGATGAGGATGAGGATGAGGATGATGATGAGGATGATGATGCTGATGCTGATGCTGATGTTGATGCTGATGCTGATGCTGATGATGATGATGATGATGATGATGATGAACATGCTGATGTGGATATTGATGACGATGCTGCTGCTGCTGACGATGTGATGCTGATTTTGATGATGCTGATGCTGATGATGATGGTGATGGTGATGATGAAACGCTGCTGCTGCTGCTGCTGCTGCTGCTGCTGCTGCTGATGATGATGATGATGATGATGATGGTGGTGGTGGTGGTGGTGGTGGTGGTGATGGTGGTGATGATGATGATGATGATGATGATGATGATGATGATGATGACTCTGCTGCTGCTGCTGCTGCTGCTGCTGCTGCTGATGCTGAGGAGGCTGGAAAGCTGCCGAGAGCTGACGAACACGTCCGAATACCCTCGAGCGCAATTAATTCCCCCCCCCCCGACGGGCGGGACCTCAAAGCGGGCGGGCGGGCTCGCAAGCGCGCGAACTTCGGCGAAACCCGACGGGAAGCGCCCGCCGCAGAGAAAACCAACCGTGGGCGAAGCCGACCAGGCGAAACCTGCCGCGGGCGAAACCAGCCAGTCTCATCCCTCTCCTCCTCCTTCTCCTTCTCCTCCTCCTCCTCCTCGTCCTCCTCCTCCTGAGCGTGTATCCGTAGCCATTTTGGCTCAAGGCCAAGATGGTGCTCTCTTCACTGCCTCAGCGTGGTAGGCTCCCGCAGTCTTCAGAAGTCTTTTCATCACCTTCCAAATCCCGCCCGTGCAAGGGCATTCCATATTTTCAGACCAGTATCGCGAGGTGCGTTGCTGGCATCCGCTCCGTGGTCTTCCTGATCGCGTCGAGGCAGATATCATTCCTCTCTCTTGCTCCGCTCTTGTTCGTCCACCCACCGACCCCATCTTCGACACGGCTCATTGGTTCAGGATTGGAACGCTCTCTTGGAGGCAGGGTTCGAGATCCTCGACCCACCAAGGTGCCATGGCAGCCACTGACAGCAGCATGTCCCGATTGTTAGACGGATCTCGCCGACCTCAGTCTCGCCCCCGTAATCGTAGAAGGCAAGATGCAAGGAATTCCAAGAGCAGGACTGGTGGAGAAAGAAGTGGATCGAACAGAGGGCGACGCAGGCACCGCGATCGCAGAGACAAAGGCAGGCAGGTGGATCATGCCGAACGAGAACGTGAAAGTGACCGGCACATTGACAGACACGAACATCAGCGAGCAGGTACCCGAACATTTGGACCTTCGGCTGCTCGCGCGGACACACTTGGCGAAAGAGACCCATGGCAAACTGTGGTAGCTGCATCCACTCCGCAACGACACGCTAGGGCTAGTGGAAGGCCAGCTAGACACCCTGGACCCGAACGTGTTCTTCTTTCTCTCTCCGCGAGCTAAACGACAAGTGGCTCGAGAGCTGGAACTGTTTCCTACGTTTCCTGCCGAAGGTGCGGCTACTGCTGGGAGTGCCACACCGATTGGTGGTCTACCTACTCCCAGAGATGCTGCCTCCCCTCCTCCTCGTGCTGATCTATCAGACCTGGAACAAAGGGTGGTGGTGATGGGCCAAGCACAGATTGCGCAGGCGACGGCTCAACTCACGGCTACGGCAAACTCGCTCATTGCTCAGCACCAGCAGGCCTTCAACGCGCAGGTGCACGAATTCTTGGCAGCGAGCAGGCATAATGCAGTGCATTTGAAATTACACGACAAAAGTATCCATGAATCGCACTCCAGAGCAGACAAGGTCGAAGTGGATCAACAGCGTATGCGGCAACAAATCCAAGCTATGCAGCAGACATTGGCAATGGCAGAAGCTTCAGTCGCCTTGTGCAGCGGATGGCAGAATTGGACAGAGCACCAGACCCAACGGTTTTCAGCATCGGAGCGCCGCGTGCAATGGCGCCCGCTGCCGTCAAGGCAGCCTCATCGGACTGGATTGTGGCTTCTGGCATTCCTACCGAACAGCTCGTACTTCATGGGGGCGTTCCACAACGGAGGTCTCGTCTACAGGTGCAAGGAGGAGCCGCAGCCCCAGCCAGAGCATTGGCACCAGCTCGAGCTCTCAAGACCCCCGCTGGGTTCAGAACGTCCAGTGGCATCGACGCGGGAGGGGTCAACGCTCCAGCTTGCGTCAGCTCCGACAAGATCCCGAAGCAAGTACGATTGGAATTGCAAACTAAACGGCTGCAGCGCTTTATTATGGGCGCGCACCCTGGACGCAGAATTGGAGCTCAGGGAGGCAAGGGCATCACCACCATCGATGCGAGCCCGCTGGTCATGGTCGAAGTCCAAGGGCCTGAGGAACCATCCAAGTTGCGATGGGATTCGCCCATCCTTGCGCGCTTCCAGATCGACAAGCAACCGCTGGTGGCAGCGTTTGGACAGGCGTTCTCTAGCATGGATACATCTGCGTGGTCTATTTAGCAGGAGATGGTCACCGTGGTCAACGGAATATGCCCGTCGAAGTGGTATTATTGTTTTTGAGTGCTCGCGTTCTGCTCTGCTACAAACCTCGCCGCAGTAAGGCCAAGCTCAACGAGCTCGCCTCATTCAAGCGTAAACGTGTTGTA